TCTATACTGTTGTCAAAATCATAAAAACCTACTGGGTGCACTCAGAGCTCACAACTCAAACTTGTTATTCTGGCTCATGCAAGTGGTGACCAGAAGATGTCATGACCCTCCTTTAAAATGATTTGTATGAATATAGTTCTGTCCAGGATTTTTTAGAATGCATAGAGAGCGCAAGTCTTGCGCCTGTCTAGAGTGACAATGGCAAGTCTACGGATTGTCTGTGTTCCATGCCTACAATCATTCCATCTCTCATATAAAACCAACCTTGCGTGAAATTTTAAAGGAACACTATGGGGTCAGGAACACAAACATGTATTCTTAATACTATAGTGTTAAAACCACTAAGGTGGCTTGTCCCCCCTTTACTCCCTTAAAGGGAATAAGAATGTACCTTATTTCCAGCATCGGGCAGCATGGGTGTCAGCAGGAATTTTTCCAGGGGGGGCATAATTGTAATGACATCCATGCTTGGTACCTTTTTGACAGTGTCATGAAAGGGAAGGGGCATAGCCATTATCACATAAAGCCAGGGTGAATAGCGTTTTCACAACTATGGTGTCAGGAATATATGTTTGAATATATGTTTGTATTCCTGACACTATAGTGTTCCTTTAAGCAAATTAAATGACCATTCTGGTCACCATAACAACTTCACCTAAATGAAAATGCTATGATGCCCCTGGGTGCTCGCTTTCCTTTAAGGGGTTAAATCGCTCTCAAATGGTTTAACCCCAAAGGCTTCCTCCAGCTCCAGGTCGCTCAGTGGTATTTGGCTTCTGAAACAGAGTGTCAGGAAGTGCAGATTGATGTCAGGCATGGGTGCCGCTGATTGGCTAGAGTGGACAGTTGACGCTCTAAGCCAATCGCTAGTTCCCGGTTCATAAAATATTTTTACTTTTTTATGAATGGGGAGCTACTGATTGGCTTAGAGTGCCAGCTGACCGCTCTAGCCAATCAGCAACACCCCTACCCAACGGCACTCTGTGCTTCCTGACACTCCGTAAATAAAAGTGAACACATTAACACTGATTTTTTTTACCTTTGGAGATGAGAAGGTCCAGCATTTCCCTGCCTGGCCCAGGTACCAAAGCCTTATGATGTGGTGTCCAGAATAAAGTGGAGGGTTCACTTCATTTGTCCTTCCTGCTCCAATCTCCTTTTTCCTCTCCTTCATTTGACCGTCTTTTTTTCTTCTGACACTGTTTTCTATCCTTGGCCCCTTCTTCTTTTTTACCTTTCTGCTTATTTTGCGCCCTTCTGCTCTATTCTCATTCTGATCCCTTTCTGCTCCTTGCAGACCCTTTCTGCTCCCTTTTCTACTTTACCTTTGTGCTCCTTGCTGTCCCTTTCTGCTCTTTCTCCTACTTTACCTTTGTGCTCCTTCTGATTCTTTCTGCTCCTTTACCTTTGTGCTCCTTGCTGTCCCTTTCTGCTCCTTGCTGCCCCTTCCTGCTCCTTGCAGGCCTTTCCTGCTCATTCTCCAACTTTACGTTTGTGCTCCTTCTGCCCCTTCCAGCTCATTTCTGACCCTTTCTGCTCCTTCTACTTTACCTTTGTGCTGCTTTACCTTCCAGCTCCTTGCTGACCCTTATTGTTCATTTCTGTTCCTTTGTGATCCTTCTCCTACTTTACCTTTTGTGCTCCTTGCTGTCCCTTCCAGCTCCTTGCTGCCCCTTTCTGTTCCTTGATGTCCCTTCCTGCTCATTTCTGTTCCTTCTCCTTTACTTACTTTACCTTCCTGCTCCTTACTGACTCTTCATGTAGGCTGTCTCCCCCATCCCTCACTTCAAAGGAGTGTGATTTCAGTTCCTGCATTCCTGTACATACTCAGTACATTGATGACACTATCTTAGCTACGTGTAACTAACTAACTGATACAACCATGGGCGTCCGCAGGAATTTTTCCAGGGGGGGGCATAATTGTAATGACATCCATGCTTGGTCCGTTTTTGACAGTGTCATG